TCTGGGTGTGAGGACTGCAGCAAGGTGTGAAATGGACTAAACAGGCTTCCAGACCCCAAAAAGACAGAATTCTGTAGCCTCCATAGCATGCCAAAAAACTGGGGGTCTGGGGGGTCTTCAGGGTCTTTGGGAGCTTTTATGTGCTATTTTCTGATTGCATATAGACAACATAGCCGGCCTGGTTGAGTTACCCTGTTTTTCTAGAACTGGGCTAATCAGAAAACAGCAAAAGACCCACCAAACCCCCAGTTCTATAAGCCTGCTATGGAGGCTAAGAATTCCACTAAAATAAGACTACATAACAACCACATCAGAACCTAGCTTATGTCAACCACAAGGGAATGAGATTGAAAGCAGATTGTGAGATTTTCCACAGCACGTTCCTATAGGAGGATTTGTACTCTTACATGTACCTTACATGTTGATCAATTGCAATCCGTTAGGCTACACGGATGAAGATCAAACGAGGACCCCTATCGTGTGTAATCAGAACTGCAGCTGACATGCATGTTAGCGTTTGACTAATGTTTAATGTTGTTGTTGGTAGGGAAACAAGCACTTTGTAGGTTCTGTTCCACTTCTAGAATTCCTGGAGTCAATATTTGATCAGGGCACCAGTTTAGCACCAAAGTGTGGGCTATGTTGTCTTATTTGCCATATGGCACAGAGGGTATGTTAGGGGTATAAGAGAAACCTAATTCCTGAATGAAATCCTATAATTCAAAAGCAGTCCCAAGTTTTTGCAGATACAGGCTAAAGAAATTGAAAAGATGTTAGACAAAAATCTATCATTATGACATGATTTTAGTATTGTTGATCTTGTAGCTTGTTCTTTACACATTTTCTCTGTGTATTGAGATCCCTGTGCAATGTTTGCTATCTGGTAGCACTATGGTACGACACTGTTTGCACCTATGTTAAGCTATACCGGGCAGCTCAAATACTCCTCTGCACCCTCATGAGATTTCTGTTTCCTAAATGTTAAATGTTAAATGTTATCCTCTTCTAACAGAAGCCCTCAGTTTCTTGACCAAAGATGAAAAAAGTCTGAAATAGACTCCTTCAAAAGCTCTAATTCTTATCACATTAGTAACTTCATATTCCAATTTCTAGTATCAAATTTTGCACTGAACTAACTGTGTAGGATCCAAATAAAGGCCATATACAAGTTATCTAAAAAGCGGTTGGTACAATACGTATTGGTCCGACTCGATGTTCCAAATTTAAAAACAACAAACCCAATTAAAGGGAAACCAATAACAGAAACGTGTAAGGTACTCGTCATACACTTCAATGCACATGATACTTCATCTACATGTACTATAAAATGCTCACCTCACTTAGGGGCACTTTAGACTGACGACGGTTCGATAGTCGTACGAATGTTTATCGTCAAGATGTTGCCGGCGACGGTATTCTACAACCGTCTAAAGACGATCAAAATAGTCGCACGACGGTAATCCTCGAATCGTCGTCACTACCACCTCGGACCCTATCGTGCGATCCTTCAGCGGGGGGTCCAAGGAGGATTTCCCACCGTCTAAAGTGAACCGTCGCCGGCGAAGGAAGTGGGAGGTCATTTGCCTTATGCAAATAAGCCTGCAAGCGTTTTTTCATGTCCAAGAACATCGCCCGTATCATCAAATGTCGTCAAACCAAAGACTTTATATCGTCATACGTGTCTAGTACAATCCCCTGCCACCAATCGCTACTTCTCCGGTACGAACCGATCCGCTGATCCACATTTCCCGGCCAATGTAGCCAGGCCGACGGCAGCACCGAACGCCGGGTTCAAACCTGGAGTATTGCCCCGTTCGGTGCATGTGCCTCAAGGCCCCTTCATTGCTGGGCACAAACTTGGCGTCTCATCCACAGGACAACGAGTTAAAAGCAGAATAAAAACAATCTGCTGCAGCATGCCGAAAAAAGGGGTTCTCTCGCCATTTTGAATTGGCGCGCGGCGTGCCATCCTGCGCTGCGGGTGTCCGCCACACTTTCTGGTCATGTGTCTAAAGCCAGCCGTCGCCCACAACGATTGTTGTGCGATCGTATACCGTCGTCAGTCTAAAGTCGGCCTAAGAAGTCATCTCTGCACTTCTCTGAACCTAATGTCTTCCTCCCATACTTCCAAAGCATTTCTACTACAGAGAGTAGTCTCTACTCACTATTGGTCGATGTTCCAAATTTAAAAACAACAAACCAAGTTAAAGGGAAACCAAAAACAGAAACGTGTAAGGTACTCACAACTACATAATAACACTGACCTTGCTAAAAAGTCATCTCTGCACTTCTCTGACCCTTGTCTTCCTCCCATACTTCCAAAGCATTTCTACTACAGAGAGAGAGTAGTCCCTACTCACTACAGATGTGTTTGTATCTCCAACTACGTTTGTTGTTGCTCTGTTCGGACCAACTCTTCGCCGCGAAAGGCGATCCTGAAGCGTAATTCCATCCTCATTTGACGCCTCGGTGATCGCAGAAGCCATTGATGGGGGCCTGCATGGGGGGGTCCCGACAACGCTCTACGCTGCACTCGGAAACTTCTCGATTAAGCTTTACGATAAATTCCGAGTGGCTACAATGCATTACGTAGAATTAAAATGGAGAATTGAATACGCTCTCCGCAAAATGTGCCAATTACGCTCTACGTTGAATTAGGGCGGTCCGTCTACGCTCTACGTAGAATTAAAACAGCCGATTACGCTCTACAGAAAAGGGCTTGCGGGCCCCCATTTGATGCCTCGGTGATTGCTGAAGCCACTGATTTCACCTCTACAGAAGTCAACAGTCCTTCCTACACAGTTTTCAAGTTTCAAGAGGCCCAAAAAAACGTTTTGAGCAAAAAACTCTATTTGAAAACAAGTGTTCTTGTAATTTTTGAACAGTGCTTTAGCTGTTACAAGTTGAAGTAGTGCCACAAGAGAAGAGAGAAAGAGATTCAATGGAATTAAGTTATTTAAGCCATTGGATTTCTTCTAAATATTTGACAACCTAAAAAGTTCCTTTCTTTAAAAGGATTTATTTTTTCAAAACCTGAAAATCTTTTTAGACGTCAGTACATCTGAAAAGCGCCTATACATGTAGATTTGATGGAGTGGGTACCTTAAGCACATGTACCTGTGAACCTATTGAAAGCTTGAGTGTAACTAAATACAGTTCATTTGTGCAGGGCTGAGCTTGGTGGCTGAGGGGAGATCCTTTAACAAGGGGAAAAACCTGTTAATAGAGCCCCTAGATTATGACCTCTACAGCCAAAATAGAGATTTAAAAGTAACTCACACTTACTATCCGGTTTATCGTCCGGTTTAACCCAGATTTGTATATCTAACATGTACTCACAGATACATGTGGTCCTGGATATTTCATCACAGTTGTTAGCCTGGATGCCAGACTGTTTCCAAGGCCTGCACATGCTGTTTGCCTGTGAAGCAGGTGTGTTACGCCAAAGGTCTAAACAGATATAGATAGATACAGATACAGAAGCCAGCTTCTCCAGGGCTAACATGCCCCAAAGGAAATTTTACCAAAGCACCGTAGTTAGACTCCCTGACCACTCTGGATTTATATGTTTCTTCTGCTGAATTAAGAGCTTTTGTCTGGCATCCAGGATACAGAGTAAGCCATACCAGTAAATCAGTAAGCAATTTTTCTGAATCAAATTATCCTATACATATCTTATTTTTAATGCTTACCTAAGCTCATCATCAGGTTTCCCGTGCTGCCGTCTCATCCATGCGACTCGGTAGAGCCCCCCCCCTCCCCCCTGTACTACCGGTATGATGTTAGTTAGTTAGTAAGTACTTACCTCAGCTCGTCGTCAGGTTTCCCGTGTTTGTGTCTCATCCATGCGACTCGGTAGAGCCCAGCCCTCCCCCCGGGGAGGAGGGCGGACCTCGCACAGCTCAGGTTCGAACCAATCTTGGAGACTGCAGGAGGGAGAGAAGAAAACAAAATAAGAAAAGGTTAAGCAGTTAAAATATCCACAGATTTACCACAAAGCTTAGGTTCGAACCAATCTTGGAGACTGCAGAGAGGAGAGAAGAAATAAAAGTTTAAGTCAAGTAAATAAAAAAAAACAGCGACTGTTTCAGCTGAGGTTCTAACCAATCTTGTAGACTGCAATGGAGGAGAGAAGAAATCAATATATACAGTGACTGTTTGATAAAAAAGCTGAAGTTCAAACCAATCTTGGAGACAGCAGGAAAGGAAAATTAAGACTGCAAAATGTACCAAGGACATCAGCTTTTAATTTCAACTAATTTTGAGTACTGAAAAAGAAAATTAAAATCTCAATACATGAATTCAAACAGAAATACACAATGTCAATGTATACTGGTAATCAAAATTATACAAAATATAAACTGAATTCTGAAAGGTCCCATGGCAAACTGAGAGAACAGCATCACACTAACATCTAACAGAGTAAACAGCAATTGTCAAAACGGTCTCATGGGTCTAATATTACAAACCTTCTCTTACAATTCACTGTATTATAAGTGATTTAGTCCCTATTCCGTCAAAAGGAACAGACCGAGTACTGACCCTACACACTGTAACACACACTGAAGCAGCTACTTGTCCCCTATGACATCCTTACTCAATCCCTTAATGCGCTTCCTCAAATCCTCTATTGCTATTCTGGTCCGCGAACAAAAGACTAGCGTCCTCCTCCAGGCCTAACCTTTGTCTGAATCGCTCCATGTGTTGCTACAGTCTACAAGCGAGTGAAAGGTATTATCATCTCCAAGCAGATCTTTGGGTGGCGGAAAAGACAGTATCAAATTGGCCAGGCAGTAACATGCATACACCATTTGCCACCTTAGCCTCCAGGGCATGCCAAAAACTGGGGGTTTGGGGGGTCTTTGGGAGCTTTTATGTGCTGTTTTCTGATTGCATATAGACAACATAGCCGGCCTGGTTGAATTACCCCCGTTTTAGAACTGGGCTAATCAGAAAATAGCCGAAGACCACCAAACCCCCAGTTGTATAAGCCTGCTACGAAGGCTATTGCCACCTCCAAAAATAGATATCAGTATAAAAGGAACAATATAAAAGCCTTAAGAAACACGTTAAAAATAAGCCAAGGTTTTTAACCCTCTGCTTGGAGAGTAACAGAAAGGCAGTAGGGGGGATTACCACCTTGAGTGGGCTCTGTTTACCCAAGGGATGATTCTCAATGACTCTGAACTAAGCTTACAGGTAAATACAATCTTCTGTTGCTGGAAAGTTCGAAGTCACCTGGCCTTCGCTTAATGTTAGTCCACTTCTTTAGTCATTAAGATTAGAGGGCCTGCATGCCCTTTTTGTTAACCGTTATGGGCTATTTTAATTTACCGTTAATCGTTGCCGGCCTGCTCTAATTCAATGTTAAGCATTATCGGTATATTCCTTGTGAAGCGTTATGGGTCGTTTTAATTCTTCGTAGAGCATTATTTGTCATCCTAAATTCAGCATTAAGCGTTAATGAAGAATTCTTTGTTACGCCTAATTTTGCCTTTCAAAGTGCAGGAAAATGCGTCATTGAAGGTTTAAAGATAAAAAAATTTCCCGGGGGAGAATGCCCTCAGACCCAGTCCATCAAGAATAAATAAAAGCTTTTTCTTGTGAGCTCTTGCTTAAAACAAGAATTTCGAGATTTCATACCTCCATGAAATATGGGCTTGATATGTAAATGTAAATTTCTTCTTTGATTATGCAAATGACCTCTGCATTAACATAATATATACATCGTGATGTATGTTAACTTTTGATTAACTTACAGATGTCCCAAGTATGACATTCCCATCATTCACCATTAAGAAATCATAGAATTTTTGCATTAATTATGCAAATTAGGTCATTATTTGCATAATTAGTATCTGTTGATGCTCCGCCTGCCATAGCTTACATACATTACATGTATGAAAGTAGCATAATGTAAAACACTGTAATTATAGAATTTCCTCATTAATTATGCAAACAAAGTCCTCATTTGCATAATTTGCATTTAATCATGTACAACTGTCTCTCAGGTACCTACACACCAAAAATGATGAAAATACGTTGTTCCAATCTGGACTTATTGGCTTTGAAAGTTTTTACCAGAAACTAACCTGCAGTTCCAGAACAAGCTGCTAGGTGGACCAAACTTACGCCACTTATTCCTGACAGAATAAGCTATCTGTCACCAAAAAGTCAAGACCATAGCTTGTTCAGGACAAAAGATACAAAAACCGGAAGTTCTGCTGCAGTACCAAGGCCATCCACCAGGAGGCCCATACTTGACCTTGACCTTCGTCTTTCCAAGACTTCACATTATACCAAATATCATCACAATCCATAAAGGCGTTCTGAAGTTATGCTGACTACAAAGTTGCGGAAACACAGACAGACACACACACAGACAGACAGACACACACACAGACATACATACAGACAGACACGCCAAAAACAATACCTCCATTTTTCATGGAGGTAAAAATCAGACAACCAAGCCTAATCTAATTGGGTTAAAAAAGCAAACAACCCCTTGATGGTCTATCCCTGGTTATCTGCACTGATGTCAAATATGGACACAAACCTGGAAAACTAAATCCTCTTGTCTCAATTCCTCTATCAGCACAAGTAAGACAGATCTAGGCTGGAGAGAAACTATGTCAAACCCTGACCCCAAATCTGTAGATAGGGACTTTTCCCTGGGTCAACATTGTTACCTCCATGAAAAATGGAGGTATTGTTTTTGGCGGCGTCTGTCTATATGTGTGTCTGTGTGTGTGTCTGTCTGTGTTTCCGCAACTTTGTAGTCAGCATAACTTCAGAACGCCTTTAGGGATTACCATGATATTTGGTATGCTGGTAAGTCTTGGAAAGACAAAGGTCAAGGTCAAGTATGGGCCTCCTGGTGGCTGACCTTGGTACTGCAGCAGAACTTCTGGTTTTGGTATCTTTTGTCCTGAACAAGCTATGGTCTTGAATTTTTGGTGACAGATAGCTTATCCTGTCATGAATGAGTGGCGTAAGTTTGGTCCCCCTAGCAGCTTATTCTGGAACTGCAGGTTAGTTTCTGGTAAAAACTTTAAAAGCCAATAACTCCAGATTGGAACAACGTATTTTCATCATTTTTAGTGTGTAGGTATCTGACAGAGAGTTGTACATGATTAAATGCAAATTATGCAAATGAGGACTTAATTGGCATAATTAAGGAGGAAATTCTATAATTACAGTGTTTTACATTATAGAACTTTCATACATGTAATGTATGTAACCTATGGCAGATGGAACATCAACAGATACTAATTATGCAAATGATGAACTAATTTGCATAATTAATGCAAAAAATCTATGATTTCTCAATGGTGAATGATGGGAATGCCATACTTGGGACATCTTTAAGTTAATCAAAAGTTAACATCCCGATGCATATATTATGTTAATGCAGAGGTCATTTGCGTAATTAAAGAAGAAATTTACATTTACATATCAAGCCCATATTTCATGGAGGTATGAGATCTCGGAACTCTTGTTATGTTAAGGACCTACCTGTTGTCACTTGGTAACCCTAGTGTCAGCACTGTATTGTTCCTGTGTGACAGTAGCGTCCCAAACAAAGATACAGTAATTCAAATATGGTCGTGGTGGCAAAAAAAAGTTCTCGATCTGAGAAAAATGGACATATAGTTCATGGAACTATGTGTTCACAGTGCCTGCAGGCAAAAAAAAAAGGAAATTGGCGAATTATTTGTTTTAGCAGTAATAAGTTACGGACATAAAAGTACCACAAAAAAAATCAGGAATTACAGTATTAAAGGCCTCACCCATTGAAATGACACTGGTTTTTAGAGTCAGAAAGATAACTGCTAAACTGGAATCTTGACACTAGAACAGACTATACAGGGAAATTTTGTCAGTACTTCTTTCAGTAAACAAAGTTTCAGGGAATGAATGAATAGACTATCCTTTCCCTAAATTCTAGCCTTCTGTTTTTCATGATGACCTCTGCTTGACTCTAAAACTTTCGAGTGATCCAGAGAACAAGGAAATTTATAGGCATGGCCTTAAAAGGACATCTACATGCCACATTGTCCTGGTTACAGCACAAACCAAAACAAAGATAACCCCAGTGTTATTCTGAACTCTTCACAGTCTGTGCTTTTGTAAACCTGTTGGAGTAATTGATTTCTACATGGTGTTTTGGTGCTTTGTTCACGCAAAGCAAATGTATTAAGAGGCACCAGACTATATTATATCACTCTTCACTAGGCTTATGGAAATTCATAGTTATCAAAATTGCTACCCCATATTTGAAATGAGTTTTAGTTTTATTTAGATCCACAATTAGACTCATAAGAGGCTATTCTTATTTCATTCACATTCATATTTACATACATGTATTACAAACGTACAATGGGTGAAGAGACAAAAAAAGCTATGCACTAACTGATGTCACACCTGAAATTAAGATTGCATGGCCCAAATATAACAAATCAGCAAATGCATCTGGAGCCTTATCTGATGTACATTGTACTAGTTCAGACAAAAGTTCAGACTTTTATTTTCGCTCCTAAAGTTACTTATTTAGAAAAAAAGCCTTGTTCAAAGGTATCTGTGGCTAACAATGGCAGACAATGTAATTAATAAAGACTATTTTGTTATAACAAATAAAAAATGCATCTGAAGTCTTATCTGATGTACTAGTTCAGAAGAAAGTTCAGACTTTTATTTTGGCTCCTAACGTTAAATAACCTAAATGGACAAAGTATTCTGTGGTTAATAACAGTCGATGTTATGTGTAATTGCTATAGAAAATTATATACACTGACATACCAGCTTTTGTTACTTAGTCTCTCCAAAAAGGAATAAACAAGACTATAAAACACTTTCACACCATGGTTACAGTCAAGTGTAGTTATTGTTGATATACACCAGCTGATGTATGTGCTGAATACTGATGCAGAAAACTGCCTCTGGGCTAAAGCTGACACTGATACATGGCTGGGGCACTCCAGGGGGGATACCTACAATGTACCATTCCTGGGGGTCTGCATG